CATAAGTCGCGAATGTTTGGAAAGGCTGCACCTACAGGACTGGGTACGACACCTTAGTAGACCAGTAACATCTACTTTGGCCAACAAAGAGCGCATGATTGTCACAGACTACCTCAAGGACGTAGTCTGTACCTTCTCCTATGGAGGAGGTGAGCTTAACCATAAGATCTCGTTCTTGGTTAGTAAAGACTTGCCATTTGACATGTTGCTAGGCATGTACTACCTCGATATTGCTAAGCCCCAGTTTGACTGGGATAAGAAGGTGCTCAAACATAAATTGCCCGATGGCCGAACTGTCAGAATGACTAAGTTCACGGCCAGTAGTATTATAGATACCTATGGCTGCTTATGCGCATCTGCGTTCTACAATTACTATAAGCAAAACCAAGAGGAAGGTATGTACCTTGTTTATGTCTCTGAGAAGGGGGAGGCCGTTAAAACACCCCCCGAGATAGAACGCGTCGTTGCTAAGTTCCCTGATCTGTTCGAGGAGCCCAGATGAGTTGTTGATAGGGAAGTCGTCCACGCTATAGAAATCATTCCAGGGAGTAAGACCCCAAAGGGAAGGATCTATAAGATGGCACCTGCCGAGTTAGATGAACTTCGGAAGCAACTCAAGGAGCTGACAGAGAAGGGATGGATTCGGCCTAGTACTTCCCCTTACGGATCACCTGTGTACTTTGAGGATGTGCATTGATTATAGGGGCCTCAATGCCATCACGGTGAAAAACGCAGAGCCTCTACCACGCATAGACGACCTATTGGATAGAGTGCACGGATGCAAGTACTATACGAAGATAGACTTGAAATCCGGATATCATCAGATCGCAATAAGACCTGAGGACCAACACAAGACAGCTTTTCAGACTAGATATGGTCTGTATGAGTTTGTAGTGATGCCTTTCGGTCTTCGCAATGCGCCGGGTACATTCCAGCACGCTATAAATCGGATCTTCCATGACCATTTAGATAAGTTTGTCGTAGTCTATCTAGACGGCATTCTGATCTCTAGTAAGTCTGCCGAGGAGCACGCACAACATGTTGAGACAGTTCTCTCACTCCTACGACAGCACAAGTATAAGGTCAACTTAGAGAAGTAAGAATTCGGTCGCACTAAGATTCTATACTTGGGTCATGAAGTATCCGCGGAGGGAATTAGGCCGGAAGATGCGAAAGTGGCTAGTATTCGACACTGGCCACGACCTCAGACAGTTACTGAGGCCAAATCTTTCTTAGGAATGTGCGGCTACTATAGGAACTTCGTAAAGAACTATTCTACAGTCGCCTCTCCTTTGACAGATCTAACTTGACTTGACACACCGTGGGACTGGAGTGATGAGTGCAAGGGTGCTTTCAAGAGATTGAAGCATGCACTCATGAATCACGAAGTTCTGATGGTTCCCGATCCGCAGAAGCCATTCATAGTGACCACTGACGCAAGCCAATACGGCATTGGCGCAGTGCTGGCTCAGCAGGATGGGAAAAAGTTGAGACCGATTAAGTATACGAGTAAGAAGATGCCATCGAAGAAATTGGCTAAGTCCACCTACGAAAGGGAACTCTACGCTCTCTACAAGGCACTTGTCCATTGGAGACACTTCATTTTGGGAAGATTCTTCTATCTGAGGACTGATCATCAGACCCTCAAATGGATCAAGACTCAACCGGCTCTTTCTGATGCACTCAAGCGATGGATTGAGGTCATAGATCAATATGACTTCAAGCTTGAGTACCTAAAGGGAGAGTACAACAAGGTTGCAGACGCGCTATCCCGTAGAGCAGACTACCTAGGTGCGCTAGTTTTCGAATTTGGCGTATCTAACGAAGTAACTCA